AGGTTAGAAGCTTAGGTCATTGATTTGACATCCTTCCTCTTTTTGAATGTAGACATTTACTTCTTGGAATTTCCATCAAAGAACTGCTCTACTGCTTCTCACAAATCGGAAATGTTGTGATTTCCATTCAGTGCAAAGTATTTTCTAATCTTTCTCCATTTCTTCTTTGAAGTTATTCTTATGTGTTATTTAAGAGTATCTTAGTTTTCAAATACTTCAGACTTTCCTTGGTGCATTTCTGTTATTAATTTCTAATCTAATTCCGCTGTGGTCAGAGAACACATTTTCTATCATTGGATATCTTAAAATTTGTTGTATCTTATTTTATGGCCAGATATGAGATCTATCTTGGTAATGATCCACGTGTTGCTGTTGGGTGGAATGTTTTGTGTCAATTAGGCCACATTGGCAATAGTATGGGTCAAGTTTTTTCTGTCTACTTGTTCTATACATTGAGAAAAGTACTGTAATCTCCAACTATTAACTTTTTGTATGTGTATGGAACTTGGGATTGAATTTAGGGCCTTGTACATACTAAGCAAGTGCTTTTACCACTTGAAGCCATGCCCCCAGTCTTCTCCAGCTATAATTGTGGTTTTATCTATTTTTCTTTTCAGTATTATTAGTTTTTGCTTCATGTATTTTGAAGCTGTGTTATTAGGCACATACCCATTTAGGGTTGTTATGTCCTCTTGATGAATTTATATCATTTTACTATTATGAAATAAAATGTAGAGGATTTATTTTATTTGGTGCAGATGAAAATCAAAGGTTTGGTGTACCCTTCCAAACAATTTCTTTATATATTTTTTCAACATAATTGAAATCATATTACATCTACCTGTTTATATCCATTAAAAGTTTTCACTGTGGAATGTGACATATATACCAGTATGAACACCTATCATTCAAAAAATAATACAATCAGTCCTTTGCATCCATTGGTTCCACATCCATGTATTCAAGGAAACATGGATCAAAAATGTTTTTAAAAAATTCTGTCTGCATTGAACAGATGCAGACTTTTTCCCTTGTCATTATTCTCTAAACAACATAGTATAACAAATATTTACATTTACAATGTGTTAGGTATTATAAGTAACTTAGTGATGGTTTAAAATATACAAGAGGATGTATATAGGTTATATGCAAATAATACACCATTTTATATTTGGGAGTTGAACATCTACATATTCTGACATCCTCAGAGAGTCCTGGAACCAATCCTCCATGGATAACAATGGATGACTGTACCATGAAAACCCATACATTTACACACAGATTAAGAAATAGAACATTACTAATACCTTTGGAGACATCTGTACATTTCCCTCTTTCTTCCAAAGTTATATTTACTTTTGTATTAATCATTTATTTGTTTTTATTTACGGTTCGCTCACACATTTGTTTCTAAAAAGCATATCCCATTTTTGGCCCTCGTGTAAAAAACATTATACTAAAAATATTCCTCAGAACTTGATATTTTTGCTCAACCCAATATTTGTGGAATTCATCCATAATGTATAATTCATTCATTTTCCACTAATGTACAATTCTGTTAGAAGTATATGGACAGGTCAGGTGCCGGTGGCTCACATTTGTAATCCTAGCTACTCAGGAGGCAGAGATTAGATCATTATTTGAAGCCAGCCCAGGCAAATAGTTCACAAGACCCTACCTCAAAAAAACCTTCACAAAAATAGGGCTGGTGGAGTGGCTCAAGATAAAGGCCCTGAGTTCAAGCCCCAGTACTGCAAAAAAAAAAAAAAAAGTATATGGATAGACCACAATCTACCCAACCTTCTCCTGACAGTCATTTGGGCTGTTTATTATTATTTCACTATAACAAAAATAATGTTCCAATGAAGAATTTGAAATGTGGTTTCTAGTGCACGTACATAGGGATTTCTTTACATGCCAGTAGAACTGCATGCATCTTCAGATATCCCATTTAACTTTTATTTTGTTTTTAATAATTATTCTTATTCTTTCCTAAAGAATGCATGCTATCTCAATGAGTGTATGCATTACACTACTAAAATTTGTCGCCATTTTTGGAACTTTGTACACAACTCTGGAAAATAAAATTTGTGCAGACATCTCTGCTTTTCAAGTCATTTACTTATGAAGGATTCCCAGAAGTTGGTTATTTGAATCAAGACCAATTTACCAGTTCATTCAGTGGAAGGGTTTTCATTGCTAAAAAACATAAAGTAATTCCCATTGAAGTAGTTGTTAATCTTTGAGATCATGGATCCTTTTGAGATTATGATTGAAGGTACTTCTCTTCAGGAAAAAAAACAACCCACAATTACATTCCTAAAAAAAACAAAAAACATAGAATTTCAAGGGTTTCTTAGGTCCTCTGAAGCCCTAAGAGATGTCAACATCTCTCATGAATGAGATATATTGTCCTTCTTGTAGTGCATTTTGTGTTGATGTAATAAAATACCTGAGTCTGGGTATATTATTAAGAAAAGAGTTTGTTTAGCTCAGGGTTCTGGAAGTTCAAAAGCATGATGCTGTTTGACTCTGATGAGAGCCTCATGGTGGATGGCATATAAGATGGCAGAAGTATTAGAGAGTGGCAATTAGCAGGTGTGGAAAAGGGATTCAGGGTTGGGTCAAGCTCATTTATGACAACCTGCTCTCAGGGCTCCCTATGAGATAAGCATCAATCCCTTTTAAGACCTAATCATTTCCCATTAGGCCCCAACTCTTGAAGGTTCCACCTCTTCAACACTACTATGCTGAGGACCAACCCTCTAGCACATGACTCTGGGAGGACAAGCCATATCCAAACCACAGAAGGTCTACTCACTGAATGTAAGATTTCTTACAATACTTTGCTAAACAAGTTCATAAACCAACTCTTGTATCATCAAGTACCCTTTTTTTCTAAACAACCATATAGTGAGCATCTGCCATGTACCAACAATATGCCAGATACCAGAGATAGAATAAATGCTTCTGGTTTAAAAGAATACTGAGTCTACTGGGGAAGATAGAAACTAAAAGACATTTATGATAAAATACGTGCAGTAAGAGAGATGTTCATTAGGCAAAACGGAAGTACAAATTAAGAATTTATAAGCTTTTCTTTACCAAGGGGTTATAAAGAATAAAACTTAAACTGCTGTAATTGGAGGAAACAGTACCAGCAAAGGGAAAAGAGTTTATATAACCTGGTACACAAAGAATAACTATAAATTGAATATGGTTGGATTGGAATTGTAATGAGCATGGGAAAGAGCTGAGACTCTTCCTTATTTTGGGACAGAGACTAAAAAAAACCCAAAAAACCCAACATTGACATACATGATTTTAGCAGTTGGTCTGACAGCACAAAGGAAACCACAAAAGAAGATCTCCTCTCAAACATTTCCTTTATTACTCAACTCTACTTCTATTGCATACAAACAAAACATTTTGGCTGTTTTTTTTCTCTGCAGCAGTCTGAAGTGCAGTGTTTAATTCAGCACACAAGATTTAAAACCTACTTATTATGTATACAATGAAGCACATTTTAAAGCAACATGTTTTAAATTTTAAATTGTCTAATGGCTTTCATTTTGTAAACAGAAATATTACAAAACCTGAGCAATATTTACTACATAAAATTGCTTGAAAAACTATAGGTAAAAACTATGATTTTTAACATTCATTTAGAATGTTAGTTTCAGCTCATTGGTTAACTCCTCTAACACAATCATCTCAAAAAACCATTTTGTTGTTTTTAATTTAGCTTAGTTGAAAAATTATAATTAAGCAAGGGCTGGGAATGGTAGAGCATTTGCCTAGCATGCACAAGGCCCTGGTGTGATTCCCAGCACTGCAAGAAACAAGAAAAATAAATAAAAGCACAAAGGGTAAGCTACTGACTTAATTGTAATGGAGCATGTGGAACTCTTAAAAAAAAAAAACTTATACTCCTACAGAAAATGAATGCAATTGATTTTGATAATGCAATCTAGTAAATGTCTTTACCTGATAGATTTATTGAAAGTATGACTACAATACTATACAGTTATGCTTTTAACAATATTTCTGCTGGTGTAGTAAGCTTATATATGTATTTTTTTCCCTTGAAATTTTAATTTGTTTCAATTCTTGCCACAATTATTCTGTTCCCTTAGGATAATACGCAATTTTTATATATATCATGGAATCACATACATTCAATATATAATGTATGATTATAAAGTTGTAAAACCTGTTTTCTTGTGTTATTAGAAAGAAAGGGAAAAGCTGGTTTTAAATTTCAAACATCAACCAACTGAAGGAGAATGAATTCAAGTTTATAAAAGAGCACAAAGCATGCTTGACTTACTGCTTCTTTTTCAAAACACCTCTTGGATCTCTAGATGGCATCCCATTAAATGTTGCTTAGCTTTGTCAAATTAGAGGACTTTTGAGGGTACGCTAAAATAACAAAAAGATATGATCTCATTCTGGGTTTCCTAGTAAGCACATCGAATGTGGTTTACTTTTAGATTTCTACTAAAGAAAGGAAATTCTTTCCATATATGAGAAAGAAATCCAAAGGGAACAAGTTTTCTCTAAAAGTTTTCATTAAGTTCCAGTGAATTTCCTAGAGGACAGGCCCAAGCATAAATAAGAATATATGTTATTGTTTATTTTTTTAATTTGTGGTGCTGGGGATCAAACCCAGGGCCTTAGCACATGCTAGGCAAGTGCTCTATCACTGAACCACATGCCCAGCCCAAGAATATATGTTAACACATGCTTACTTCTCACGTGTGTTTTTTTTTCATGAGAGTGAATCTTCCTCATGTGGTATTTGTTCCCCAAGTGGAAAACATTCTTTAAATGAACTTAAACAAATACTACATTTCCTTAAACAAATCCTACAAAGCCTTCACTACATGAAGGATTTAAAGACTTTCATGAAGTGTGTTGACCATAAATGATCCTCAGCACATATGTAAAAAGACTATGAACTCTCACTACAAAAATAAGTGAAACAAATCTACAATAGGTACAAATTATATACATTTATTAATAATTTTAAATAACACTCTTGTATAAATTCTTTCATATATTCAAATCATACACAAATTTAGAAATGCATCATGAAGCCTAGAACAGTGTACGTATGAGACATGTCTTTAAAGTTTGTGTTAGAATTTTAGTGACATAAATACAAGTTTAATGTTTCAGAAACATTCCTTAATTGTTTGGGTTGAAATTTAACTTATTATAGAGTGCTTGTGCCTAGCATTAAAATTTGACTTTAAATCATTTTGCTTCTGGGCTAACTTGAATCTGAAGCCCTGGGTTCCCACTCTAGGGCTGCTGCTGCAGTTCCTGTGTACACATAAGTAACAAGTAAGAAAGGTTCCCAACAGCCTTTGCACAGGCATCATTCAACCACTGACATTTTAATGATCCATAACTGTTAGTCCACTTGATATTATTTGACTTCTTCAGATCAGTCATGTGTTCTTTCTGCCTTTCCCCTTGGTATAGTCACTGGCTTATGGTTAAAGAGAAAAACGCATTAATTTGCCATTACTCCCCAGCACACACTAGACCCATTTTAGCTCCCAAACTCTTTACTAGCAAGATCATAACAGACCAAAGGTTCTTTGTGGATGAGGCCAGAAAGACTTTCTATGCTCTAACAGGTTAAACTAGGTTGCTTTTGACTTCTCTGAATATTTTGTCAGAAAGCTATCCTTGAGATGTAGAGAAAATTCAACTCCTACCTACATATCTCAAAATATAAGATGGGCATATTCATTCTGTTCACAAGTGCCCTACAAAAAGTATGTGACCAAGGTGAATGATCTAATAACCCAATTCCAATTGAATCTTACAAGAAGAGTACTGTTGCTTTAGTTCTCTGCTTCCAAAACAGCACAAGGGCTAAATATCTTGGAGGCACTCAGCTGACCAAAATGAACTAGAAGATCAGTGAGTCTTGCTTAAATGGCCAATGATTCTAGAAATATGGGGGCTAGAGAGTAGCCATACAATTTGAGGTTTATAAAAATCCTACCACCCAAATCTCTCTCCTCCCATGCCATGTTTGCTTTATTTTCTTCTCTTAAAAACCAGGTATCCCTGGGAAAAGAAACACTAGGTCCATAGGACCTTAGTATAAGTCAGAGTTTTTAACTATCATTTGTTATCCTCTATAGTTGGAGAAATTCCACTAATAAAGAGAGCCCTGGGAGGTACAGAGTGGAAGCAGGGAGGGGAAGATGAGAGAGGACAAAGACATACTTAAAACTACCTAAAGTATGTATCAGAAATTCATAAGGGTTTTAGTATAATTAATTAATGAAAACAAAAGTATTGCTTCATGGCAATAACTGTCATTTCTCAAGGGTCTTATTTTTTAAAAAACACATTTCTAATCCTTAGACAAAAATTCTTCCAATATTAGGCTTTCTACAGGACTGATCCTGCTGCTGGATGCCGTCATTCATGGGATACCTTTAGAGGAAAGAAAATTGTGCAGTGCACTTCACACCAGTTTCCTAGTTTGGTTTTAAGGGTAGATCAACTCATGATTGATTTATATTTTACAGCAAAATTATTTCCACAAGAATGAAAGAGTATTATTTAAAAAAATTTTAAGGCCTTAATTTTTTTCTCATTGTGAAAAATTAAGAACATGTCCTAGTAGCTATTTTTATTTATTTATTTATTTTTATTGTTTTATTATTCATATGTGCATACAAGCCTAGTAGCTATTAACACGTATTTAAAGATGAATGTTCTTTATGATTCAATTTTTTCATGTCTGTTTCAAAGAATCTTTACATGATCAAAATCCTATTTAGCTTTGGCTCTTAGGCTTCAACACATTTCTTATTGGATTAATTTACGGTTAATGTGTGTGTGTGTGCGTGCTTGAGATAGGATCTCACTAGCTTTTGACCAGGCTAGCCTCCAACCGAGATCCTCCTGTCTCTGCCTCCAGAACAGCTGGGATTACTGGCATGCACCACCAAGCCCAGTCCAACAAATGTCTCACCATCCTCAATCTTGACTTTTCTTTCTTTTTTTGGGGGGGGGGCAGGGGTTGGGGTATCAGGGAGAAAGGCAGGTATGCCACTTTGCATAATTTCTTGGAGTCTACACACCTATGCAGCAACTGCTAGCAAGTTTCCCCTCTCTGCTTAGAGGGATTAGTTCAGTTTAATGAAGCACAAACTGTTAGTTTTGCTTTCCTATTATTAATACTGGCTTTAGATAGTAATCTTCCTGTGTTCTTCAAAATCCTTCACAGCTCTGTGGCTCTGAATTGCACCTGGTAACCACAAAAAAAGTAGAAACATCCACAAACGGGACTCTTCCCCCAGCCTTCTTGTGTCCACGGCTGGGCAATTTCTGAATTAGCCTATACTTAAAAGACTGTGTGCTTCAGAGTTGGAAGTCCTGATTCCAAGCCCAATAATGACACACTGTGCAGCGTTGAACAAGACAGATAGCTCTTTTGTGCCTCAGTATTATCGTCTATAAGGTGGGTACAACAATTATTTCCTCAGGGGGCTCTGGTGAGGAACAAAGGGCACCCATGGAAAAGTGCTTTGTAAACTAGAAAGGGCAATAAAATATTAAATTTTTGAGGTGCTGGGGAATTGAATCGAGGGCCTCATGCATGAATGAGTGCTCTACTACTGAGCTACATCTCCAGCCCTTAAATAATCTTAGTACAATATAATATAATGTCTTCTCTTGTGAGCAATGGCCTAATCTACAGGGGACCCTCAGCTTGCCAGAAGCAGATTGCCTGTACATCCTCTAGAACATTACCTCCAAACTCTGAGGAAGACTTAGGGGTCTCCTACAGAGGGTGGTAAATTCTAGATTTTTCTCTGAGGAAGTTAGACAAAGAGGTCAATTTGGCTTTCAGGTCTAATCTAATAAAAAGTCTTCACTTTTTTTTAAACCACCTCATACGTGGTTGTTCCTCCCAATAAATATCTGTATTTGGTCTCTGGCCATCTTTCTTGGCTTGTTTAAACCACAGACTGTCAGTACCATACAGATGAGAGCAACAGTAATTGGCCTCTGCAGGGAACAAAAGTGCATCTGAAAATAGTTGCACTGTTGTACACACCTAATGACAGAGCTACCCTCTAACCAGACAGGAAAATGGAAGAACTATAGCACTGCAGAAAATGGGACATACCTCATGACAAATGAGTGATAGGCTAAGTTCAAATGTAGGAAATTTTTATTTTAGAGGTTTGGGGGTGGGGTATAAATGTTTCACAAGCATGAAAACTAGGGATCTCAAGTGGTACAATGGCCTTTTTTTTTTTTTTTGGAATTCAAATATTTCTATCCTTTGGAAGACTATCTTTTACATTCAGGAAAAAATATTTTAATGAGGGTATGCTTTATAACAATCTACGCAAAATATATAGAGTAGCTAATATCTAATTAGGTGAGTGTTTTGGAGAGTTCAGCCTGTGTCCCAGCTTAATAATTATTGACTTCAAAATCTATTGCTTGAATCTACAGTAAGTCAAAGAGCATAAAGCTCTACTTTTAGGATCAACCTCTTATAAATTTCAAGTGTCCAAAGAGGGACTAAAAATGACTGTGCTCACCAGAGTCCCAGCTCTAGCAATATTGCCACCTAGTTTACAGTATTTAACCAAGCCCCATATTTTCTTTTTACAACACCATTAACTGCTGTACAAATAAATTCTAGGTGATAAAATATGACATGGTTTTTTACAAGTAGATACATATACAATGTTCACCAGATATGCTACATTCACTATGTACACTTTGTTTCTCTAGAGGCAGGAATATTCCTTATTTTTAGAGTGGCAGAAATACTCCTTATCTTTGAACAATTTATCATTTACACTGAGCCCCTGAGGAGGACCATCAGCCTCCTGCCCCCCCCCCCAGTGCTACCCTCTGCTCTCTAGCATTAGAAGCTTATCCTGTGCTTTAATCCTGTCATTGAATGAGAATCCTGGGACAAAAAAATCAAGCCCTTCTAAAGATCTTCTTGGGACCTTTCCACCCCTATTCTAGATATAATCAAGATCATTTATTATGATATAGCCTAGACACCAGGTTTTCCTCAATTATATATTTTAGTATGGTAAAATGAATATAATCCCTGCTCTTTCTTTTAAAAAAATGTGTTTTGGGAATGGAGATGACGTCTGTAGCAGTCTTTTTGCCCTCCACATCCATTGTCCTATCACCACTGGCGAGGTGAACATATCCCCAGCAGCCTATTTGGAGGTCAAAGTGGATTTGTGCCACACTATGGGAATAAGCCTTTCCACACTCCCATGTGGTTTGATACAAAAATATACTTTACTTCAAGTTCTTAATGACAGCGAATGCTTCAGATCTTCATGGGAAAACTAAGAGCAATAGACAGGCTAAGCGCATGATGGATTTGTACCTGACAAGTTCAGATGCACTATTTGCCTTTCTCAGCAAACTCTACCCAGGCTTTGTCTGGCCTAGAGGCTGAGGCTGTCTTAATAAGCACTGTGGTTTAATAATCCAGGAGAACAGCTCGAGCTCCTTAGGCTTTGTAGTTGTGTATGGGTGTCGTCAGGGTCAGTTGCCCATTGGGAGCCACTTCATTGCCATCATCTTCCAACAATCCCGACACATCTGCATTGGGAATGCTGTCATGGTAGCTGCTGAAACTGATATTATCTTCTTTCAGCTCGATGGTCCAAAAGGGGGCATTGAGTTTCCGGTTTTGGTACTCACGGTACATGTATACAGCCCCCACAAATCCCATTAGCAGCACTACCACAATGATGATGACTGTCAAAATGATGATGTTAAATTGGGTCCATGATACATCAGCTAAAGCTGAAGTGCTGTTTTCAGAAGAGCTTACTGAAAAGATAGTCTGCAGAGTTGTGGGGGTAAATGTACTATTTATAACAGGGGTGGGCACTGATGTGGCCAAAGAGGCATTGGAAACCAAAATGGTAGAACCTTCAGGTGTTGGAACAATAACTTCTGAAAATAAAAACAGAGAATGAAATGTAAAAGACAAAATTATCTAGTTTTGAGAAACAATAAAAGAAATACACATGGGAGCAGAAGTTGATGTGAGATGTTGACATGGTACTCTGCTTTAAGGTAATGTAAATTTAAAATCATTTTTAAAAGAAATATAGAGAAAAGAATCAGGATCTGGTAAGATAGTTTATTATGTCCATGGTTGTTTTTCAATATGTATAATATGTACATTGAAATATTCATGAAATTTTCAATTTTGGAGTTTTCTATCCTTCTTTACCCATGGAAAGAGTCATGCAAATTCCTGCAAAGGCAGAAAACATGTCACTTCTGAGTTCTGAGTCACATGGTTAAAAGTAACAGGGATAGATGGCAATCATTTGAACTAAAATGAGTCCAACATGTCTGACAGAATTTCTAAATGTAAACTTATCCTCAAAGGAGGCATAGGAAAAATGTATCTGTGAATACATTTTTGCAACATCTGAAAAACATAATTTAAAGGCTCAAAGTTGATGTCATTCAAGAGAGAAAACAGCTTTCCTTTAATCCCATGTGTAGAATTTTTCCTTTGTGTAGATTATATCTATTTTATAATTAAGGTACCATACTTTGTACTTCCAATGACAGCATAATTCAGTGGGCGGACCAAAGGCTTCAGACTCAAATAGGACTGTGTTTCTATAAATAAATGTCTTTTTAAACCTCAGGTCCCTTATCTGTTATTGTGAATAATAACATCTACTTTGCAGAGTTCTTGAGAAGGGTTAAATGAGCATTATCACATTTAATACTTATAGTGGCTGGCATATAGTAGACACTCAGTTAAACTATTATAATAATTCGTCACCACAGCCAGCCACATCAATTTATCCTAAAGAGGCAAAACTTATATTAAATAACTAATAAAAATAATCAGTCTTAGCTCATGACAAGGTATGCCTGAGCTTAACAAGGTATGCTTCCCAAATGGGAAAGAGAATTTGAGTGACAGGGTCTCTAGCCTGTGATAGGATTCAACCTGAATCTTTTAGCCTTTATCACAACAGCATAAAAATATCAAGAAAATTACAGAAAGATGCTATCTCCCACAGACCAACTGTACATCAGCCTAGCAATCAGCATGTGTTAGAATATCAAAGAGTAGTTTGTAGAAAAGCCTGGCCAAATTTCTCTGTGATTTAATAATCTCTGAATATCCCTAACTCATCCTGATTTTATAATCATTAATTTTTTTCTAAATCCTTACTGACTTCCCTATAAGAAACATTTTCCACATGAATAACTTTTTCTTTTAAAAATTTAAAGGAATATTGATACTATTTCTCCGATTACAGACGGAGCCATTTGTGCCCAAGTTAGAATAGGTGCTAGAAGGAAATCCAGTGTATCAGCTAGAGCTTCTAGTCAGATATAGGTTCCTACTCGAAAAGACCTTTGATGATCACTGAAAGTGATGAGAATAAAAGAAGCAAAGAATAAAATAAATGGTAGGACTTTTTTAATATTAACATAAAAAACAGATGAAAGTAAAATGTGAGAACACTTGGTCTCACTGCTGCAATGTCTTTGTCTTGGTCCTCAATTTCTGGAGTTGGCTCTGGAGTATCAGGAGAAAAGCAGGAAGGGAAGAAAATCTCTTTAGGCAAATATCTATCAAAATCTATTTCCAGAAATCCCTCTGGTGGAATTGGAAGATTTACAAAGCTAAAGGTAGCTGTCCTGAAATTTTCAGTGCTAGCCTTAGATATTAAATTTATAATCTTGGGTAGAGTTTTTACCTTTCTTGATGCAATTTCCCTGGAGGTCTCGAACATAACCTTCTAGGCAGTTCTCACACCTTAACCCAGTGGTGTTATGGAGGCAGCTGATGCACTCACCACTCTCAGGTTTGCAAATTTTTGGAGTTTTAATTGGGTCCACATGGCCATGACATTGGCACTGTATACAGATGCTGTCAGAATTATAATAGCCATTTTCACACTTATTGCAGTTCTGGCCCGTGTAACCATCTTTACACTGATCACATGTAGGTTCCAATTCACTCAATTCTGAAAGACAGAGAACACCAAAATAATTTAGTACAGTTTCAATCTATAATTAAAAGTGCAAAACATTTCACCAGCTATAGAATGGATAAAGGATTAATATCAGCAATACATAAAGGGCTCAAAGAACCAAATAGCAAAAGAACAAGTAATACAATTAATAAATGGGCAAATAAATTAAACAGTTCTCAGAAGAAATGTAAGTGGCTAATGAATTCATGAAGAAATGTCGACATCCTTAGCCATAAAGGAAATGCAAACCAAACTACACTAAAACTCCATCTCACCCCAGTCAGAATGCTAATCATCAAAAGAAAACCACCACCAACAAATGATGGTGAAGATGCAAGGGAAAAAAGGAACTCACACACCCTGGGTGGGCTAGTACATATATATGCATCTATGGAATTATCATAATGAAACCCACTGTATTATTATTGTATTCTAATTAAAAATGAAGTAAGATTAAAATTTTTAAAAATACAAATCAAGTGCTAGTCCTCAAATAGATTTATAAACCCTTCCTACTCTCTCCTCTCAATGTTGAGACACATGAAATCAAACTAATAATCTATACCTTATTTACTAATTTTCCAGCTTGTTGTAGGAGTGATGGAGTTGTCTGCAGAACCTATTCAGGTACAGGGTAAAAGAAACATGCTTACACTAGGAGTCATAATAATTGTGGAGAGTTGGCACTTGCATAATGCTTTATTCCTTCCTTTTTAGACATGACAGATTACATAAAAATGTGGTTTTAACAAAAACTTCCTTCATCCCTCCCCTACCTAAATGTTGTTACTCCCAGAGACTTCTATTTTTGGTCTCCTTCACCTGTCACTCTGCTCATTCTCCATAGGCGAACACATCCACCTACATGGTTGACAATTGCAAAATATGTATCTCTAGTTCATTTTACTATCTTAAATTCTAAACTATATACTAAGTGTTTACAACTGAATCCATAACCAATTCAAACTTAACATGAATGACTGTCCTCAAGATCTTCCTTTCTTAAGTCCTGTCTTCCTTCAATGTTCCCTACATTGCTACCTCAGTGAATGGTACCAATATCTACACACTTGTTTGTCTAAGCCAAAAAGCTAAGAAATCATCTCTCAATTCTCTTTCTCACTCCTTTGCTTGCAAGCAATTATCAATTTATGTAAATAATACCTAGGTAAAATCTTTCCAATCTGCTGCTCTCTCTCTCTCTCTCTCTCTCTCTCTCTCTCTCCATTCTACCATAGTGATCTTAGTTTAGGCCTTCATGATTTCTCACCTAGATTACTGTTGCTACTTCCTAATAGGTCTTTTTATTGCAGTGCACCCCTATGATCTTCAAGTAAATCTGAGCATACCACTTCTCTAGAAAAGCACTTCAATTTTAATGTCTTCAGGATTGAGTGAAAATTTAACAAAATTTTCAGTATCTTTCATAATCTGACTTTTACCTACTTCTCTGAACCCTTCTCCCTTTACCTCAAACCCCATACCCACTTTGGTTTAAGCACATCAAATGACTTAAGTGTACTCCCAAAGACTGCTTGCTTTCTGAGCTTTTGTACATACTACTTCCTCTGCTGGGAACATCCTTTTGCTTTAATACCCATATTTCAACTTGCAAATTCAAACTATAGGAATTAACTCAGGTATCACTTCTCAGAAGCACAAAAGGTTGTACTTGATTCCCTGTTTGGGTTAGGACTACTCTATGCTTACTTGCAAACACATATCATTCTAAATTGTAATAACTTGATTCTATGTCTGTCTCTCACATTAAACTATGAGCTACTTATTTTCCACCTTTATCTCCAATGATTAACATAGCACCTGACACACAGTACATGTTCAGTGAATGCCTGCTGACTGATCAACTTTCATCCTACATAGTGGGAACACACCAACCCATATTTATCAGCTTTAAAAAAATTCTTCATACAATTTTAATTTAGGAGTCTCAATTAGGTTTGATAAATGCTTTTTTAATGACCAAAAAATTATAATTTTATTTGCTAAGATGATTAATTCCTTCATTAGAATTTACTAATTATACTAATATAACCATCCTGTTTTCTGAACATGTAATAATTCCATTACAGAAGGAATAATTTACAGGGGTCATGAAACTTGTGGCAATTCAGTACATCTCTGTGTTCTTTATGTAAAATGAATCCCTTTAATCTATTTTACTATTGTTTTTAATAGCTTTGAGATATAATTCATATTATATATAGTTCAAACATTTAAAGTATATAGTGGTTGTTAGTATATTCACAGAATTGTCTAACTGACAAAGAATTTTAAGTTTATAATCCCAGTTAGTAATGTGATCTTAAGTAAGTTACTAAACTCTAAGTCACAATTTTCCATACTTCAAATAAGGGACTTAAAACAGAAACACTTAAGTTGCTTTTAGCAATAAAGGCAACAGTTGAATAAATTATAACCCATGAAAATGCTTATATATAGGAAAAAATACTTAACAGAAGGCTTGTACTCCTTGTTCTCAAGGAACTTACAGCTTACCATGGTACCATATTTCACAGCATTTTTGGAGTTCAACAACTACAGCAATAATAAGTAATCCAAAAAAAATACTGATGAAGTAGACTGAAAGACTAAAATCAAGGTTTGTGAAAGTCTTTCTATGTCTGTCATGTTCAGACCCACTGGACTTCATAACGTGACATTCGAAAGTCTTGTTTTGTGTTCCATTTTTTTCTTTCTTATACTTTGTTTCTGCCATTCCTAAGTGTTTTTTTTTTTAAATCAAATCAGCTATTTTAACATTTCTGTACTTTTTTTCTTACTGATTTCTTTACCTGACATGTCCTTCCTTCTTTTGTCTACCACTAAATTCTGACTGTCATCACAAGCCTATCACCTCCTCTCTGAAGCCATTACTTATATTCTCCCACTCCAGTAGAGTGTTCCTTCTTGGAGCATTCACTATATACAGATCAATCACATTGCATTGCACTAATTTGGATGTCAGTTTCTTCACCAGAAATAGTGAGCTCTGAAAGGGTCAAATATGTGAATCAGCTAGGTACTTCCTACCCCTAGTGTAAAGTGTGAGCACAATATGTTTTTGAAACACTTCCATGCCAAATTGGACTGGTCAGGTCCCTATTCAGTCTTTGGCTTTGATCTTCCACTCACCTCTACATGGGTAGATTTCTAGATGTTCCAATCCTTACTCCTCAAAGCCCAGTTCAAATGTTACCTGCTCCATGAATACTTTTCTATACCTGCCACTAGGAAATTATCCTCCTTCCCTTGAACACTCATAGCTCTACTTTTGTGCATCTAAACATTTTCTACTACTCTGAGTTATGGTTATTCATTCAACCTGTAGCATTAACCAGACACTGGGAGTAAGGATAAAATAGTTAAAAATATAAACATGATCTCTGCCCTTATGAAGCATACAGTCCTTGGAAAAGGCATACAGTCCTTGGAAAAGGCAGACAGGAACAAGGAACACAAGCACGTTACTTTTGTTAGGAATCATCTTTCCACAGAGGAGGCATATACATTTTAAGTTTATTATATGAAAGTGAATTCAGCCAGTTATTTAGCAACCATTTATAAAGCAACTATGATAAGCAGGTCCTGTGTTCAAAAAGAAAGTTGCTCTAGAGCCAAGGACCACTGTAACTTAAGTTGCTATTTACAATTCATATAAGACTCTAAACTCCTGCAGGTATCAGTGGCTCATACCTGTAATCTTAGCTACTCAGGAAGCAGAGATCAGGAGGATCGAGGTTCAAAGTCAGCCTGCGTAAGTAGTTTGCAAGACCCTATCTCAAAAATACCCCACACAGAAAGGGCTGCTGGAATGAAGTGGTAGAGTGCCTGCCTAGCAAATGGGAGGCCAAAGTTCAAGCCTAGTACCACTAAAGAAAAAAAAAGTTCTAAAATCTCAAATTGTTTTATACTAATAACAGATCAATATGCTTAAAAAAGAAATCCTCTATAGAATTCTAGATACATATTTAGACATTAATATATAATATTTTCATATTCCTAACTCTAGATAACAGTCCTCCTAATTTATCCTAAATAGTTAAAATATACCTATATGGTTAATATTTACCTAAATGGTTAATATGTACTTATATAAATAGTGATAATTAACAAGGTATGATACCTAAAAGTATTACCTCTTTTAAGAAAATTTCCTAGGTTAAAATAGAATCCCCTTCATTTGTGGCCTATTATACCATATAAATACATTTGATACTTTTGATGCTTTATTTGTGTGTTTTTCTTTCTATTGCATTGTAGACTCCTTTATAACAAGGACCATATTTCATTTTTCTTATCTTTGTATCCATTGTAGAGCACAATGACAAGCATGTGCTAAGTACTCAATTACTATTTGTAGAATAAATGATAGACTCTATCAAACTTTCCTACGAAAAGAGAAAAGTACCAGTTCCCATTACTAGGTATGTAAGCCAACCTTCAAGATGACCCAAAAACTCCCTGCCTGCTGATATTCACACTCCTATGTAGTCCCCTCCCACACTCAATAGGATAGTCATATGAAACTAATGTGGTAGTGTGAAAATAATTATGATTTCAGAAACTAGATTACAATATACACTGCAGCTTTCACCTTATTCTCTCTTGGATGACTCACTCATAGAGGAACAAGCTGCCATGTTGTGAGTACATCTGAAGAGGTCCACACTGGTAAGTAATACAGCCTATTACTTTTTTGTCTCTAGGAAACTACTGAAAAAGTAGATTCTATGGCCCCAATTCAACCTTCAGATTACTGGGTACAACTATGGTTAACACCTTGGTTGCAAACTCATGAGAAATCCTAAGTCAACACAAACAACAGAAGAAAAATTAAATTGAACTTTGTTGAAATTAAAGACTTTTGTTTTAAAAAGAACATCAAGAAACTGAAAAACTAAACTACAGGATAAGAGAAAATATTTACAAATAATATCTCTTAAAAATTTTTTAATTGTTATTTTTTACAGTACTCAGGATCAAACCCAGGGCCTTGTGCACACTAGTAAGTGTTCTAGCACTGAACTATGCTCTCTACCCTTAAAGATCATTATCTGATAAGGGACATGAATCTAGAATGTTTAACTCAATGATAAAAATATAAATAATCCAATTTTAAGATGAACAAAAGACCTAAATAGATATTTCTCTAAAGAACATATGAAAAAGATCAGTAAGTACATAATCAGCTGTCAGAGACATGCAAATTAAAACCGCAAAGCAACACCATTTCACATCCACTGGGACAACTACAATCATAAAAAGATAATAAGTATTGGTGAGGCTATGGACAATTTAGAACCCTCATACAGTGATGGTAAAATGAGAATGTAAAATGATAAAGTCATTTTAGAAAGTAGTCTGACAGTTCCTCACAGTTAAACACAGAGTTGATATATATGACCCACAAATTCCACTCCTAGGTATATACTCAAGAGACATTAAAATAATTGTACACCCAAAAATATGAACAAAAATGTTCACAGCAACATCATTTATAATAGCCAGAAAGTAGAAACAACACAAATGTCCATCAAGTGATGAATGAATAAATAAAATTTGGTATCCATATGTTGGAATATTATTTGAGAATAAAAAAGTATGAAGTATTGATATACTTTATGACAGGGATGGAGTTTGAAAATATGCTATGTGAAAGAAGTCAGATACACAAAGCCATATATTACATGACTCTCTATAAAATGTTCAGAATAGGCAAATCCCTATAGAATAAAAAGTAGGTTAGTGGTTACCTAATGCTAGAGGAAATGGAAGTGACTGCTAATGGTTACGGGTTTTTGTTTTATGTTTTGTTCTGAGGTACTGGGGTTTGAACTAAGGACCTCATGCTTGCTAGGCAGGCACTCTACCACTTCAGCCATGCTGACATCCCTTTATGCTTTAGTTACCTTTCAGGTAGGGTCTCATGTTTTGTTGTCTGGGCTGGACTAGACTGTTATCCTCCTACTTTACAACTCTGGTGTACCTGGGATGACAGGTGTATACCATCACATCTAGCTTACTGGTTGATATGGGGGTCTCAGTAACTTTTTGCTCAGTCTGGCCTCAAACTGCAATCCTCCCAATCTCTACCTCCCAAGTAGCTGGGATTATAGGCATGAGCCATTGTGTCCAGTGAGGTTTTTTCTGTCCTTCTTTCTTTCTTTTTTTTTTTTTTTGGATGGGGAGAGGTGAAGAAAATACATGTTCCAAATTTGATTTTGAGGCTGGTTGTACAACTTTATGAATACATAGTAAAAAAAAAAAAACCCCACTGAGTTATATATTTTTAAAAAATTATATGTAATGCTATTTAAAAAGAGGGGGGTGGGTAGGACAGTAGGAAGAATCCACATCAGGACTGTCCAGCGAAGCTGCTCCCAAATTGCTAACAGAAAAAATAAAATAATAAATTCTTACTGTTATCTTAAGCTGCTAAATTTTAGGGTAATTAGTTATGCAGCAATAGATAACTAATATACCAGGAATAAATGGAAGTTAACTGCATTTGGAAGAATGTTACATAGACATACTTAATCAACATTATTAAGTACCTTGGAAGAACTAATTATTGAGTGTTACCATGAAATAGGTGAACAAAAACAGCTCAGTTTTAAAGCTCCGGTATTAACTCATTATGTTGGTTTTAGACATTTTAAGGCTTATTTTACGTATGTATTTGGATTAGATTATAAATTCCTAGGAAGAAAAGCTTTTGCTATTTTTCTAACTCACTTTCTGGATGCTTCCAGAACTTGATTCATCAATGCTATTTATAACTACCAATAGAGGATTCACAGACCCCATCCTCACAAAAAAAGATATAGAGAAAGGCCTTACTTATGGTGCAGTTGCCTGTAGATGTCACTGCTGAACATGGGCAGCGAAGGCATTCGTTAGTGACACTAGGGCTCTGATAAAATCCTTCTTTGCATTCTTCACAGTGATCCCCTTTGCTATTTTCCTGGCAGTTTAAGCAAGTCCCTAAAAGAAGCACATTATTTTTAAAAGTTAAAGATTTGCTCTGAAAGCACAGTCACTTTCGAAGATCATGCCTGCAACAAAAAGATCATAAGAGTTAACCAGAAAAAGACAAATAAGGATGGAATGGTGTTCAGTTTCTACTTCTTATTCTATAGTTAGCCATATCTGTGAGTTCAATGTCCCTACAAGACTGCAAACTCTCTAGGGAAAGGTGAGGTTTATGGTTAGAGTCACAATATGCCCTTATTGATTAATAACACACTGAATGCAGGCAAAGAAAAATACAAACAATCTAAATACCTATTAATAGAAGAGTAGACAAATTATGGCATTTTCAAAGTTTGGATGCTGAATTTAAATAAATTAGCTAAACCTGTATGTATGAACATTGTATATCTTAAAACAACTTTGGATGAAAAAGCAAATTGTAGAATGATGCATACCGAAGGAGAGTACTTATTTTATAAAATTAAAAAACACACACTAAGCAAATGGATACATAATATACTAAACCAAGTTGATACATACATATGTAGTAAAAGTTTAAATGTGGACTAAGAGGATATATGGGAATTTAAAAAAATTTTGGTGGCACTGGGATTTTAACTCAGGACTTCATACTTGCAAAGCAGGTGCTCTGCCACTTAAGCCACACCTCCAGCCCATTTTGCTCTGGTTATTTTGGAGATGGGGTCTCCCAAACTATTTGCCTAGGCTCGCCTTGAACCACAGTCCTCCCAATCTCAGCCTCCCAAGTAGTTAGGATAACAGGGTGAGCCACTGATGTCCCTTGGTATGAGGGAATTTTATGGTCTCTTTGTCTCTGTGGAGGGAGGGAGGAAAAGGAACTAAGGAGGGAAAGAAAGAGGACTCCAACTTTATTTGAAATTCTATTTCAAATATGTAACCACACATAGTAGACCCTTGGTGTAGAAGGGCATTGGGTTCTAAGGAGACCACTGCTGAGGAGAATGCTCAGGGATGCAGAGCTCCAATGCTGTACTGAAGATGCTTAACTCAGTTTTTCCATAGCGATGCCACCTTTCACATCTAAAGTGTTCGCGTTATCACTTCAGTTAAGCACCATTCACTTTACCTTGCTTTTGGGGCTATTTTGCTTTTTTTTTTTTTTTTTTGAGATACTGGGGGTTGAATTCAGTGCCTCATGCTTGCTAGACACTTGAGCCACTCCTGCAGACCACTGTGCTTTTTGAAGCACAAAATGAATGGTACAGAAACATTCAGCAGATCACACACCAATTTAAACACAACCAAAAACAGCAAGGTACTGACAGAGCTTTCCTGCAACCAAGCTGTGTATGAACAAGCAGGAGTTAAAATTTTGTTTTTGAAATTCCTTTTAATTTTTAAAGAGTGTATTATTTTTATTATTTTCACCATGGTTGGTCAAAACTGTGTAATAAATCATACAGATGGGCTAATAGTACACATAAGCATGAAGCAAAATGCCAAAGGTGTTATTAACATCTATTAATTTTGGACGTGGGGACATGGGTATCTGTCATATTATTCTTCACAGGTTTTTATATTTTAAAATTCAAAATAAAAATAAAAACAAAGTGAAGAGGAAGGAGGCAATCAAAGTTACATTTTGTAATACTACTCCTTTGGTACTCTGTAATTCAGGGTCCTCCACAGACCCTGAAGCAACATAACAGGTTCTTTGTTTTGGGGATGCCAGAGATTCAAGGGGACACCAAGAATTACTACCACGTAAATAAGTGAATACACTCTTCACAGAAATTTAGGAAGATAATGAAATTTTACAAGGATAAGCTAAAAAGAGTTTAATGCTAAAATTACTCATAAACAGTCTTATTTGATTTCTTTTACTTACTAATGAAATATTTACAAAAAAAGGAGGGAGGGAGAAAGAGGCTGTGGAATCAAATAGCCTAACAATTGGAGTACGAGTTGAAAAACCAAAAGAATGAAAATGTTATTAACATACTTGTTAAATCTTAATTCTCCCAAACTTCATGAACTTACAGGGAAAGACATCTTTAAATTTTTATGATCTGAACACTTACCTTTGATTTAAACCAAACATGCATATAAATATCATTACTTTAAATCATATAATCTTTTAAAAAATATGACAATGTTAATTATGTTTTTCCCATATATAACAAAGTAGTATACACTCAGTGATAAACACTTTAGGTGTTGATTTGTTTCCATTTCTTATACCCTGATCCTCTGTAGCTATGTCATTTGTGATAATAAAAATAGTTGGATAGTACATCCTAGAAAACTGTGGATTTGGGCTCTAAAGATACAGCGATCTTAAACGTCAAAGTGTTCTGTAGATTGGAAAAACCAAAAACTTGCACTATGTGCAAAATCTATCTGCTCTTCCTTGATTAAAAATGTTCAATGGAAACAATTTTAAAGAGAAATTCTGATAAAGTGCTAAGTTTTAATATAATAATACCTCAAGAAAGCCTACAGCTTTGTAATAGAATTAGGATATTTGGGGTAAGATACAGTCCAATAATAAGCCTTTTTTATATGATGCAACAAGAAAAGCCCAAGTTGGAACCCTTATTAAAAATGGTAATATATACATGCTTTTAATACCTTGCTTCTACAATGCTACTGGACCTATATGCTTATTATTTAGGGGCTTTCAACTATATTAGATAAGACCCCAAGTCTTTGAGATATCGCAATATAATTTAACTCTCTTAAATTATTTATAGTTGAATGTTTTAAATTTTTTCCATAAGAATTTCTTATTCTAATTTGCTTTATGCCGTGCCCTGTAATGAGAAGTCAGTAAGGGGGAAAAAAACCCTCCGTTGTAAGTACATTATCCTAAAAGCAAAAATGAAAGCAAACTTAAGCATAAGTTTTTAAATACCCATCATCATTTACTTTCTTTAAAGATAGCATGTACATGGAGCATAGCTATAGAGAATGAAGATTAGTAAATTAAAAACAGAATGATATCAGTATACCAAAATGTTAGTAACAGTTGTGATGGACAATAGTCCTTTCAATGTTTTTCCTCTAATTTTCAAAATGTCTCTACTATGCATTTATCACATTCATTTTTATTATCTTGATTTTTTTCTCATTATAAAATTAACACATTAAAATATATCACATGCACACTGGAAAGCATTCCAAGAACTCAAGCATTTTAAAAATGGGTAGAAGCTTGATGGTGATTAATTTTCATAACAAAATAAAGACCATAACCTTTAAAATCCATCTGTAGTAGGAATGTGAATTTGCTTTTCTAGCTTACAACTCCTCCAAGAAGCAACACAGATAGAAAAAAAATGACCTGAGACATTAGATCTGAGCTCCATTCCCACCTGAACCTCTCACTAATTATGTGATGTTAAGCAAATAGATTCTCTGAGTTTCACTTTTCTAATCTGCAAAATGGGATTATTCTTTGGCTAATAATTTAATATGATTTGAATATTTTAGAGGGTGAACGATTATTTCATGGGGTAGAATGTTATCTCTTTATGTCTTACTTGCCTCATCTATAACTTAAGAAAGATGACTAGATAAGATCTAAGTTTCCTTTAAATCTAGTGTGAAGAAATTTCTTTTATAATAAATGATACATAAATTAGCTGAAGTTTAATATTGTTCATTATGCTCTGTGTTGGATTCCCCAAAATATAACATTGTTATATAAAAATATAGCAGTGCTTTCTTAAATTTTATATCCTTTTTGTTAAAAGATGGTCAAAGGGTGGGTCATCAAAAAAGAAGGAAAAGGAGGAGGGATAATAAAAACAATAATAATAGCAACAATAATGGTAATAATAATAATGATTTCCTGAAGATGGTTTCATATTCCTTGGCTAAGCATCTCAAAAATCTGACAGGGTAGTCAAGAAATAACCACCCAAAGAAAGGAATATAGGACTCCTTCTCAAGCAAATTCAAGGAGAAAACTTTGAAAACATAAATTGTCACCTGTAAAAAGCATTTTCCTTATTTCCTTATTTATTTTTCCATTTCAAAGTTTATATGTAAACTTGCCACAAATATAAGAACATACTGTTGTAGGTAAAAAAAATGTCTGATCTTCTTTATAGGAAAGAAGGCAAGCTTGATAAACTAAAAGAAGGCCAGAGTGGAGCCAAAGTCAGTAAGTGAGAGTAACAGGAGATGAAGGGCCAAAAAAATATAAAATCATGTAGGCCATGGAAAGAATTGAAGGGCTTAAGCATGGGAATGTTTTGGTCTGGTTTTATATTTTTAAAAGATTATTCTAGTTGTTACATGAAGATCAGACTGTGATGGAATAGGGGTCAGACACAGGGAAACAGGAGGTAAAAAGGCCAGATGAGGGGATGTCAGAGTATTTCAAAGAGATGACAGTGGCCTGGACACAGATGATGCAGCAAATGTAGTCAGTGATTGGATTCAGCCTATATTTTAGAGTTGACAGAACTTGGAGATGGACTGGGTATTTACAGTAAGAAAAAGAGAGGAATCAAATATGACTCCTAGGCTTTGGAACTGAGCAAAGGGGTGAATAGCAATTACTAAAATGAAGAAGGCTTGGGATAGAGCAGGATTAGTTTCTATGGTAAAATAGTTATTTTTGATGAATTAGGATTATAATACCAATTAAAGTATTCAAGTGAAGTGGTCTGCTGAGTGTTTGAGTATTGAGATCAAGGAAAAATTACAAGCACATATCTAGATGGATTTAATCTGAATTAAATCCAGGGGACTGAATGAAATCACTTGGGGGAATAGTACGAATGGAGAAAACAAACTTGTCAAGCTTGGACCCTGAGGGTCTTCATTGCTTAGAGTTGTGCTGAGGAAGAGCCGGCAGAGCTGACTGAAAAGGAAAAGTCAGTTATGTAGGAAGAAAACCAAGAAAGCATGATATCTTAAACCGAAGAAGGTCATTGGCTAAGGAGGCCAAGTAACTCACATGAATACATGAAGACTTGAAGGGGCCTTGAATTATTAAAAAAAAGAAGTACGCTATCTGAACATAAAGTTCTATATTAAAAAATAATACATCATTTCCCACTTCCATTTTAAGGAAAATGTGCTTAATAAAGAAAACTTAGAAAAACAAAACACAGGAGTAAAAAGAGAGAAAAAAAATTACCCTGGGAAATATCTCATTAAGATTTTGAATACTTTGCACTGAAATACTTCCTTATTTAAAGAGATTTGGGTTGTCATTTTATATTACTCTTCTTTCATGTTCTCATGTAGTTGTATTAGTTTTATATATATATACATATATATATATATCAAGAATTATATATTATGTATATAATTCTTGAAAACATTTTAATAAAAACTTATTAATAATTACCACTTAAGTATTTTTAATGAGCAAGGTAGTATATTAGGGCTGTACAAACATATGTATTTAATCTTTCCAACAACCTATTAGGCAACAACCTATCTGTTACTGATATTACCTCAAATTTATAAATAAATAAACAGATTAAATAACTTGCTGAAGATACAGTCAAGATTTGATTTTCTGTGTTCTTAACCATATATTACTTATATAACACCATCAACTTAATTCCATATTGTTATAAATTGGTGTGTCTAATTGTATAGGACTATAACTCCCACTTTGGAGAGTATTTTTGAACATAAAGCTTTTTATGAATTTAGAATTACTTCCTCACAATAGATTCCTGAAAAGAGAACTGCGGATCAAAGAAGTATTTTAAGACTTCTGATGCCAATTGTTAAATTGCTTTCAATAATTTTCCCAATATATTTTACCACAAAAAAGTACTTTGAAATTTTACATCATTATAAAATAGAAGTTATAGACAAAAGACCAGAGGAGGGAACAAGAACTGTGAAAAAAGCAAGTGGCCACCAGGGGGCAACCATATTACAGCATTATTGAAAAAAAAATCTCACTTGAGATAAAAGAAAAGATAGATTGTATATAAAGCTTTCAGTTTTAAGTCAAGTATTTACACTCCTTTATGCTCAATTCCATTTTCATTATATTTCCAAAAAGACAAACCTATTTATTTCTCTTACTACTAGGTGCTTTTAGAAATTATAACCATGAAAAAAGATTTGCCTTAAAAATCTCTGAACAAGTACCAGTCAGCATTCACTTAACAATAACGAGAGCTGCCTCATTTCTGCAAGTAAAAATAAAAAGAATCAACAATGTACATGGCTTTATGGTACTATAAAAGACCTAGGGAACAACTGAAATTGATTCAGTACAATGAAGCATTCCTTTCATTCCCCAACATCTAACCTTACCTGTCTTCTGTTTTTTTCATTCATTTGTTCATTTATTCAACAATCAGTGAGTATTTTCTATGTACCAAGATCCATGCTACAGATTATGTATACAATGTGAACAAAACTGATACTGTTCCTGCTCTCATGGAACTTAAAATGCAGCGAATGAGTCCTATGTGACTTATAACCAAAAATGAATACTACACTACAAATTGTGATAAATGCTATGGAAAAATACAAGAGTAAGTGAGAACATAAAATAGGAAAATTTCATTTAGTGTGGAACATAAGAAAATGCTTTCTAGTGAAGTGACTTTTAATTGAAGACCTGAAGGAAGAATATAACTTCACAAGGCAAAGGGGCCCAGAGTGGGGGTAGAGATGGATTAGAAAGACCATTCCAGACAGAGGAAAGATTGTGTATGAGAACCCTGGGGTAAGGGAACATAGTTTGCTTTAGAAAGAGAAGCCAGATAGTAAAGAACAAAAACAGCACACAATATAACTGGCAAGTAGGCAGGGACCAGATTTCATAAAAGAAAAATATAACACAATTTCTTCTAAATCAGCTTCTCTATATATAATAAAGAATATATATATATATATATATATATATATATATATATATATATATATATATAAAGAATAAGCTTTCAACATAGATTTTTCCCAAGGTACTTTCAATTTCAAATATTCTGCTACTCTGTTCTCATTTTTTTTAAAAAAAGCACTTATACTTATCAGACTAGTGTGGTATGATGTTTTAATTGTTGTTAAAAAGGTTTTCGAGAATTTCCTCCACTTCTTACATTTAGGAAAACTGAAGATCTTCAGAAGCCAATTGTCTTTAGTCTTTAACAGTTTGATGATATTTGCCTGAATCAGGTTTTCTTTGTTTTTACACTGCTTAGGAATTGCTAAGCTTTCTGAATCTGTGAGTTGGTGATTTTTCATCAGTCAGAAAATTCCTGGTCACTTCAGGAATTTTCAGGAAAATGCTTCAGTTTAGATATTTTTAATTGAACTGTATTTAGGTGTACTAAACTTGTCTTCCCTGTGTATAATCTGCCAAGCCCATGCAATGAGTTATTAATTTCAGATATTGTATTTTTCAGTTTAAACTTGCTTATCTGATTTTTTAAGATGCAATCTTCTAAAATTTTACCCCTTTTCACCCATTTTGTCTGATTTGTCCTCTACTTTCTATATGTATTAAAATTAATATACTGAATTTTAATTATTTTCAAGTCTTTCTATTCTAACTCTAACATCTAGATTATCTGTGGTTCTGCTTCCACTGTTTATATTTTCTCTTTATTATTGGTCACAATTTCCCATCTCTACATTCTCTTGTATTTTTCAATCATATGCAAGACATGGCATATAAAGAACTAGAAATGACTCTCATTTCTTCTGTTAGGCAGATGTAATAAAAAGATCACCTCAATCCAATCAGAAATTTGAGGTGAGTTAAGGATGAACTGAAATTTTAGTATTTGTCAGTTTGCCTCTGGTTCATCACTATTTCTTAATCATGGCCTTTTTGACTGAGAATCTGAAAGGTCTTTCTTTCCTCAACCCTAGAAGTCTGAGAGATTCAGTACTGGCCATTGGTGGTTTGAACCTATGTCTCACTCCACACAACCTCAGAGTCTGGCAATGTCTTAACAGATTATTTTATGTTATAGCAGGCCCTCTCTCTTTGTCTCTCTCTCTCTAAAAGGATTTTGTCACTCAGCACAAAAGTGAAGATTTCTTTCTACCTTTCTAGCCCAGCCTTCCATCTCCTGCTTAGTCAACTAAATTCTATGGGAAAACTGGCTGTGTTTAGGCTCCCTCTAGTTTCCATCCATCATATAAGCTCCAAACGACTGCCGAAAGTTCTTCTCATATCTCTTTCCTCAAGAAGAATTTCTCTGCTTGGGCCAAGCCTATGACTTAGTCTATGCCACAAACCAGCAAATATCCCTGGAAAGAAGCATCTGGTATAGGGATCCATCTTGACTTGACCACAACCATCTGGAGTCATATCATAACTGAGTAACCCTACTCTGTTTTCTTGCAGTTCCTAGCATATTAAAGATAAAATCATTAGAGTAGTAAATGAGCTATATGAATGGCACTTGGCACCATCAGCAGAAGGAATGTGCCTAATGTCTTTGACATTAGCCTGTAATAAACCAGGTATATTCTGGCTTCAATGAAAGCTACTTTTGTCCTGAAAACCATATAAGCCTTCACTCAATGACCCAAGTTACGAGGGTCCACTGATCCTGCTGCTGCCCTTGACTATACTTCTGTGAGTAAGTCCCTAATAAATTGCACCCTGTGCAATCCTGGATCTGTCTGATTCTTTCTTTGGTCTTGGAACCTCACAGTCAGTTTTTTTACACTGGATTTTCCTGGAACATCTGGTGATCTGGCTTACTTAGGAACAGTTCTACCTTTTCTGGAATTTTAGTTCGAGTAGTTCTCCTTGCTTCATTCCATATCTCTCTAACCAGTATGACTTGAAATTTATGTATTGTCTTTAAGTTGTTATAAAAAGAGTTTGGCTTGCTGTGTGCGATTACATCATACTTAGAAGAAAAAGGTCCTTATAGACTATGTGAGAAGAATCAATATATGCTGAAAGACTGATGAAAATAATAACAGAATAACTACATGACAAAATTAAACAAAGTATGTACCTGTGAGAGCATCACAACTGGCAGACCGATTATTGCAATGGCAGGGCATGCAGCCATTCTTACTAAAGCCATAATATCCATCTTGGCATCGGTTACATGTAGAGCCGGTAACACCCACTCTGCATTGACAATTCCCAGAACTGTAAATAAAAGCAAAGACAATGAAGAAAAGTAAATCATTTTGAAATTTTTATTGCCTAATAACCCATCTAGATGATCTTAATGGAGCAAAGAGTTTCACCTAGATTCTAGTTAGTTAGAAGTATAAGAGTGATTCTTATTTTAAATTGGAAGTTGAAATCTTCATGACTTTATAATTCAGCTAACATGGTACTAATACTAATCACTGTAACAATTTAATTCTCTGTACTTGGATTATTTATCCTTGATAAAGGATCCGTGGAAAATAGAAGTTCCCAATTCAAAATCTCGGTTTACTAAGCACTGTGCTTGTACCACTGCTATATTTCATCCCTCGATTACGCCACAGTTCTGTTGACATTCATTCCACTCTGGAAAACAGAAGAAACACCACCTGGACTTCACCCAGCTTCTAGCTGAAAAATACAAATACCAAGATCTGAATGAATGTGCCAGCTAATGTCCATTTTGATGCTAGAAACTTCATATAATTCTCTAGTTTGGGCCTGGAGATTTTATAAATCACAGTTCTGGTAATCAAAGTAGAATCCACAATTAAGTAAACAATTCTACGATAAGGACTTCTACTGGTTTCTGAGTTAAAATCATATAAAAATTCTAGAATTTTAGAAAGACTAAAAATCTAAGATAAGATAAATATTTTATTTAGTAGCTTATCAATTTCTGTTTACCTATTTTCTTAGCTATCCATTATAATAATTATGCCATTTCTCTCATATCATTAAAACTTAAACCTTTAATGTCATTTTCAATTCCTCTCTCTCTACTTAATGCTCCTATGAGCATTCTTTTGTATCCAATATCATCAATTCTGCCAAAATTTCTTCAAATATTTCTTGGTATTGTTACTTGTTCTGTGACTAAATTAAATTCCTAATATAATGTCTTTCTTTCTCTTCTAAAGTTTTTCCTGCTTTCAGGGCTCTTTTTGTATGACACTTTCTCTAACTGGCCAGCAATATTAGCTTTCTATCTTTACACTCTGGGTCAAACATTTTGATCCTAATTGTGATTTGTTGCATATTTGTTCAATATGTAAGTCTAATTTTTCTCATTAGATTGTAAAAGCCCTGATGCAAAGGCCACATCACTCAGGTTTTTCATATGCTTATTCTATTGTCAAGACACAGCACAAGTACAGGGATTGTGTACTATAACAAACTGTTTTCATGTCATGACTTTACTAAGTTATCTTAGTTCAAGGACCATTTCTTGGCCATCTTGTTATCCTTAGAAAGGATATAAAGTATAATGCCTGGTTTGTTGTAGATACTTAATAAACACTTGACAAATGCTCAATAAACAGAAAACCTAATTTTTGTAATTAAACATTGAAGGGGAAAAACAGATAAAAGGTAACATTAATTAGCAGGGCTTTCAGAAAAACTGAAGTATTTTCTGTAGACTGACACACTTTTTATTTTTTTTGAGACAGTGTCCCGCCATGTGGCCCAGGTTGGCCTGGAATTCAATATTCTTAGCCTTGGCCTCCCCAGTGCTAAGATTACAGGTGTGTGCCACCTTGTCCAGCTGGAATGACCCTTCTTTATATGCTCATCTGGACCTCAAAAATTTAAACTTTATCTGAATAGTTTGGCACCAGTTGTATTGGATGGGAGACAATTCAAGGTAAAACTGCTTTTAAAATAACTTCCTTAGAGATTTACCTTCCAATAATGAGCCCCTATGGAGTTGTTAGTTTTAGTTCAGGAGCCCAAGCTAAAATTGTTAATACTTACACAGTTCTTATACATACCAGATAAAGCAATCCCCTATAAACTCCTATATTTCTATTTCTATTTCTATAATAACAATAGAAGTTCTAAATTTGAGAATTAATTGGAACTCTGGATGGAATTTTGCATAATGGAAGTATCACAAAACTTTAACCATTTGTTTTCTACTTATAGTATATAAACCTAATGATTTTTTTGACTATTTGAAATGTGCCCCTCTGTTTACTATTCCCTGGGCTAAATAATGAGAGTTTTAGCTTCTACCCTTAAAAGTCTAGTTCAGGTAGTGAGAGTTGAACTTTAATTCTCTCTTACATGTATCTTATTCTCTGTAATAGCTTAAGAAATGTCAAAAAGGAGTAGAAAAGCAGAAACAAACAATTTTACATGGAAAATCCTTAGGGCTTTACTCAGATAAAACCAGCCCAGAAAAGAAAACAGGTTCATGTAAATAATATATATTTACCATCTCTCAAAGCCTTGTATCCTACAAAATCTCCTATTAAACTCTGTACTCCTATTAAAAGCTGCCTAGTATGTAATTCCTTATGCAATTCCTTAGAAAACAAGTAATTTTTTCAGAAAATGTAAAATGGAAGCATATAAAAGCAGGAACAATAAAATAATGATTTTTAATAATAACAAAGAATCAATGAGTCCCATCTAATGCAAACTTATTTCATTTTATATTCTCTCTAATCCTCCAGGTAAATCTACTAGGTGGAAGTCATATCATCGATATACTTATTGAGAGGATAAGTTATTGTCAACAGCTAGTGAGTCAGGCTTAGTTAAACAAAGTTAGACTTTTCCCACTATCGTTCTGTGAATGCCAAGCATCACAACTCACTATCCATACAGGTTCTGACTTCAGTGATGCTCTTCTGCCTTGTCTAGAATAAACCCAGTCTCTTTTCTCACTGCCAGTAAATTTCAATTCTTCCTAACAGGGTAGCTGAGCTCTTACAGCTTGAAAAGCAGCTGCAGACTAACAAAATCCAAGGTATTCAGAAATACAAGCCCAGATATTTTGATGTTCAAGCTAAATTAAAGTTGAATTAAACTTCATACTGATGATATAGAAGATGACTATTATTTTTAATGCAGCAGAAATTTACCTTCTGTGTCTCTCAAGTAACTCGGCAAAACAGACACACACACATATATATCCACAGTCCTAAATACTCCAAAGTACTAAATGATCTGGGAAAGTAAATCTATATTCATCAAATATGAAGTACTGGAATAGCTCATGACTCAAAAAGAAGAAACCACTCAATTTAAATTTCTTTCTATTATCAGAACATTATAACGAATATGATGTACCTTTCAAAGAATGAACAACAACACTTCATTAGACAGTTTCCAAGACATTTTAAATAATCAAAACATGCTTCTCATTCTTCTAAAGACATCATATTTTTCAGTATACAAAAGGATAAATAGTAACATCTAAAGATGGCATCTACATAATCCACCACCTACCAGAAAACAGTATTACCTTGGAATACAGAATCACTTAGTAATATCTCATAGCTATAACATAGCCAATGTTCCCAAAGTAGTTGCTAGCTCTGTAGGGGTCATTGCCTTCAGAATTCTGTCTTCAGCACTCAAAAGACTGAAGTAAGCAAGCATTATTCTCCTTGGAGAATCTGTTCCTTAGTTACTTATTTAAAATATATATATATATCCAAGACTAACTTCATGAATCCTGATGAAGCTGTTGACTGAGTCCAGATACCATGCTTCACTTCTTCTGGGCAGATTTAAAGTAACAGGAAAGGAGGCGCTTTTTCCCTCTTTAAAAAAGTATAGAGCATGGAGTGGGAAAGTTTGGTTGTGAGGCTGAAATAGAACTACTTTTTCATCATGCTACTTATGGCCCATGGCCAATTTTGGCATGTATAGGAATTAAATCATTCAGCAAACATAAAGCTTTGCCTGTGTGACTTCTTTTATAGAATAAAGCCTTTACAACACTCCCTTTCATGGGCGCCCTCTGTTCAAGACTGTTGAATGCTTTCTGAAGCAAAGGTCAATGATATAAATGAAAAAAAGAAAAGCCTATTAACAGACCACTTATGCTTATCCAAAGATTTGAAATGAAACAACCAAAGAGTCACAGCTTTATACCTAGGTCACAGAACTAGATTTTGAATAGAAATCAGAACTCTACATGAAGTCAGCTAACAAAAATTTTAAGATGGAATTTGCCTGTCCGGTGTCCCTTCTTAAAGATTTAAGTTTCTAGTAAAGTACTAATGTCATAGAGAGAATTATATTACAAAGAAAAATACAGAATTATTCATAAAAAGAATAAACTTAAGCTATACTAAGTTGAGCTAAGTATATACTTCACGTTTCTTAAATTATCCCAAAAAGGAGTCTCAGATTTTCTCATCGTGTCAATGCTTATAGAATTTACACAAACATGGGTGTAAATAAATACTGCAAAGTTTTAACACTTAGAAAATTGAGGTTGAGAGCACAGCCCAGTGACAGAGCACATGCCAATGTGCATAGCCTGGTTTCAATCCTCAGCACTAAAAATAAAAACAAAACCAAAAATTATTTCTTCAAATAAATATAAAGCAATCATTTATTTTCCAATATGAATAATCATACATTTTCAAAAGGAAATTCAGAAGTATATCACTTCAAGATAAGGCATGTATTTATGTCACAAAAACATTAGCCAAATTATCTTTTTAAAGGTTCTACTCTGCTTAAGGTGAGTGGGTGAGGAATATTCAGAATTTCCACTATTTTGTAGTTATATTGATTAGGTAGGAAGGGTAGAATACAGGAAGGAAAATAACAGGATTTACAGGGAGAAAAAAAGTTATAGCCTGAGGAGACAGAAAAAGCTTGGTTCATGTTCTAGCTCTGTTAATAACTAGTTGGCACAAAATACTTATTCTCTCTTAGCCTAAGTATTCTCATTTGTAAGATGTAGGTGGTTAACCCTTGTTGGATTGTTATGAAAATTAAAGACACATAAAAAGGGCACTCAGCAGTGTCCAGCACACACTCATAAACATGAAAGCAACTCTAAAGATGATGACAGTATTCTTAGATCTTGAATTATTTTCTGAGAATTTTAAGAATAAGGTAGAATTCCCAGTAGGTAAAGACAGGAATGATTCTAGGTTATTTACTTCTAAAATTTGGTTTAAAAGCCTGAAAAGAAAGCAAGAAATTAAGGGGTAATCACCCAGTGTAGAGCAAAAATGTGTAGG